TCTCTTATTGATGTAATTCTCATGTAATTTGACGGTTAAAAATGTATTCTATTATGCAGTCTTTGGACATATATAGCTATTTTCAATCTGATGGATTTTCCACCCACAAATGAACAACAAAAAGAGCAAGGGCACGAAGAAAATATGTCGTTCAACAAAAACGTTTGAAATGCTTACATGACACACAACATCCTGACAAAAGATTTACTCAGCAGCTACATACCTCAAGTGTCTATGCATCTAGAATGCCACTTTTAAACATTACCCCTTCACAACTAAACCAGAATTCTGTTACGAGAGTTGTTGCGGACAGTATGTTGTTGGAAGCAAGAATTCTAGGATCAGAACCTTCCAAAAGCAGACATACCTTTCATCATACCAACACATTATCAAAATTTAACAATAGAGGAACTAATTTGTTGGCCAAGTTCACAAATGCTGTTACGTGCTACGCAAACGAGAATATTTCACATTGCGATGTTGTCCCACCGTGTACAACTGAACCTGTCACATGCGGGACTTCTATTCTAAGACAGTAAGTCTTTCATTATGGAATTTTATTCTTTTAATTTTCTATCAAACTTACTACTACAGTGCCATCAATTCATGGTTCCTCTTTATACTCTAGCAATACGACATATCAAAACTATCTAACAAATTTTACCACACACTGATAAGTCTTCAAATGCACTATTCTATCTTATGCATTGTATGCCTGTTAACATTATGGTGTATACTTCCAAATGGATTCATACTATGTTCATGGTTAATTATATCTATTGGTTAAGCATACTAGCCTAATTTGTAATACATATTTCCCATTTTGGTACATAATATTCCTGATATTATGTAATGAACAATTTCATATCAAATACGTAACCTATGTGTTCGTCATTGCAAGACTACTTTAAACATATTTGTGGTGATAAGTTATATCAGATGCAATAATCTAACTTTGTTTTACACTGCATTTTGGTTTTCATACGCGCCTACTTTTTGTAATGTATTCGCATGTTGTTTAGAACTACTCCACTTGGTCGTGGGAAACTGTTGGATAGCCTCGATATCTTAAACAAATCTAAGCAAATCGCCACGAGGTTAGAAACCGCCTTTTGTTTATGGTGCATCCTTATATTTACCTAGCCAAGGAAAATGAATAACACCACTGATGTTATAACATATTTTTTTGTTTTGTCGTAGCTCATCACAATCGACTGACCAACCTCATGGAAAAGCACACAAAAGCAACACACAACACCGTCAATCTCAACCCAAATTGGCCTTGCGAAATCTTCATTTACATGAACCAACTACAACTTCACATATCATTGAACCATCCATGCAAATCACACAGAGGTTTCCGACTTACAAATGTATTCTTCTAGCTGAATATAATTACGATATACTATATTTTGAAAACATTACTTACACGTGTGGAGTAGTTGTCTTTGTGAGTTGTAAACTAAAATGTTTGAAAATCCTGGTGTGCAGATTTTTCATGGTCTCCATTTGATATTGAATGCACTATCAACATTTGTTTTATGCTTGACACTGCCTAATGTTTGTAATATATTTTAATTATGATCAGAACTACTCCACGTGCATGCTCAATTGGTCGTGGAATAATGTTTGATGGCCTAAATGTTTCAGACAAACCGAAACAGATCAGCACGAGGTTAGAAACTCGATTTTGGTTTTTATGCTGCTATTAATTGACCATGCCAGGGAAGATGACTTATAACACTCATGTTATTTCTTTTTTTACGTTTGTCATAGCTCTTCACAATCAACCAAATAACCTCGTGGAAGACCCCGCAAATTCAACATGCAACAACATCAATCTCAACCCAATTTAGCTTTTCAAATTCATCATTTTCAAGAACCAACTGCACCTTCACATCTCATTGAACCAGCCTTGAATATCACACTGAGGTATGCAACTTATAACTTCATTTTAGCAGTTGTAGGTAGTTACGGTGTGGTCTGTATCAAACACATGACGCATACATACTCACAACACAATGTCGATCATCAATTTATGTTATCTTACTTAGATTTCTGTTTTGAAAACTAATATATTACAAGGCTGGTTCATATTGACAGTAACTTATACCTATTTTTGCTGCCATTGATGATATCCCGGCGGCCTACATTCTACTGATATATGTTTAACAAAATTTCATGCTCTGCGTTTCATATTGGATACTCTTCCATTAATGATACGACTGTTAAAACCCGTCGTGGTCGTCCAAGAAAATCTTTGGGAGTTCCACATCTAGCAATGAATCTAACAAGACGTGTTGCCGAAGTCCATTATGATACGGTTCGTGATATATCTATCATGCAACCTGGATCCTCACCGTATTATAGGTACATTGAAATTTTACTAGCTTTTCAAATGTTAACAGTTAATTCCAACAACATCTTCAATGCATATGTAATACTATCTTAACCAAATTGACAAAGGTTTATAGAAGGCTCAAACGAATTTCTTGACAGTGACTATAACACCCCACTTCCCAATTTAAAATAAAATACAATTAAATCAAATAAATATTAGAGTTTCCCTTCAAAAGTGGGATATCACATTCACAAAAATTCAACAAAACACTTCATTAGATGATTTTCAAAATAAAGCAGCGGAAAATTGTCATTAGTACATCATTCTCGGCCATCCGCCAATTTACATAAAACATTCATTAAGAGAATTGTACCAAAATAAGATACGCCACAGGAATACAACAAATCTAATCATAATAAAAGTAAACACCCCAAGTCCCGTGTCACGTATCAAAGCATCCTAAGACTCGACCCGCACACCACTATCCAAGCTAGCTATGCACCTGAATTGTCTGTACTTCTGAAGAAGTACAGACCACAACAACAACAAAGAGGTGAGAAAACATGATCAAAATTATCAGTAATAAGATACATGAAATAAAGGTAGCAAATAAACAAATCATCACCCCACCAACATCAAACACGACCTGCTGTCCAATCATCAACACAATATACAGTAATGCAAGAATGCAACTCAACACCATGCATACGGTACGGATGAATCGCATACACTCCTCCTGAGCAACGATTCGTCCCACCATCCTCCACAAAGGAGTACGGATGGATCGCATACACTCCTCCTGAGCAACGATACATCCCACCATTCTCGACAAAGGAGTACGGGTGAATCGCATACATTCCTCCTGAGCAACGATTCATCCCACCATCCTCCACAAAGGAGTACAGATGGATCGCATACACTCCTCCTGAGCAATGATCCATCTCACCATTCTCCATAAAGGAGTACAGATGGATCGCATACACTCCTTCTAAGCAACGATCCATCCCACCATTCTCCACAAAGGAGTACGGGTGAATCACTTACGCTCCTCCTGAGACATGATTCATCCCACCAAGACACCATGATATGCACAACACCAAATGTACAACACCAAATGCACAACACCAAACATCAAGCACACTAAGTGCACACGATCCTACTAATCACATCACCATACATCATACATATATATACACACCAATCAATTATGTTAATCAAATTAAATAATAAGGAAATTTACATTTGAACACTGAATACACACGATCCTCCCGATCACCTCACTATGTATCATATACATATTATGTCTTACCCACCAATTAATTATGTCAATTAAATTCTATATTTCATAATTTCACCTTTCAACACCAGGTATACACTCCTCGCCACTAAACACCATCTCTCTACCTATCACGACCCAAGGAATCCCACAGAACAAATCACAAAGCAAAACAACATAAAATCACCTTTTTGTCACGCTCGCTGGCTCACTCGCCCAGCGAGGCCTCAGCGAACTCTCGCTGCCTCACTCGCCTAGCGAACTCGCTAGTGAAGGCAGAAAGTGGCTACTGGAAGTGTTCGCTACCCAACTCGCCTAGCGAATGCTCGCTACTAGCTCGCTCAGCGAAGGTGCTGGCAAACGTCTGCGATTTAACAAAACCCTCACTGTCCAGAAATTCATCAGAAGCTCGAAAATTATCCGATTCTCACCAACCCAGTCCCTGTAGTCTTAGCCTAATATGCTACGACTAAACTACACGACTTATTCCAGATTTTACCCGATAAAATATCAACTCTACCGATCAATTCATTTCTGACCCAAAATGGTAACCTTCAGAAAACACCCAGCTATCCAAACAATCACTATACAACCACATGCAAGAAGTTCACCATAACAACAATGATCAGAAACACAACAACACGCTAACCATAATCATCAAATCCCTATGGAGTTAAGGAATCCCCAACTACCCAATTCATGCAATTACCAATCCCAATCCGTTTCTCCCCCTTACCTCGATTAACTGCTTCGACCGTTGAAGAATTCCTACGAATCTGATTGCTCTTCCTTGTTTCTCTTCCTTCCTTGTTCTTCCTCCTCACTCTTTCTCCCACTCTTCTTTATCGTGTTCTATCTCCCTTCTTTCCCAAAACTCACTAATACCCCTAATTCCTCATTTCTTTTATTCCAATAATAATAATACCAATAATAATAATAATAATAATAATAATAATAATAATAATAATAATAATAATAATAATAATAATAATAATTATCAAATTATTATCATTATCAATTATATCATATTAATATTAAAGTCTACGGTTTCTTAAATAATCTCCACAAAAGACACGCCGAAATAAAATAATACCAGAAAGACTAAATAATTAAAATGGGTGTTACAGTGACCAACATACTGCCTTGCAACTCGACAATTCTAAACCAAAATCCCAACAACTGTGTTCTACTTTTACACCATGTGCAAATGAAGATTTCAATGGCGATACGGAATGTGACTCTGACATAGATCCTTTCGCAAGTAAGTTATATAAATTTAATGTTCAACCTGTATTTCTTAGTTATGATTTCAAACTTCCTACAACAACTACATAGTACTTTACCCATGTCATTTTAATCTTTCTTAAGACAAATTCAATCGTCATGGCTACTGTTTTAAATTCTCTTCAACTTTTTCATAACTTTCTAATTTTAACGACTTTTTTCCACTTTCTTATAGATCATCAATCTGACGATGACTCCAATTCTGATTTTGAGGAATACCATGCACCTTTTTCCATTAATGGGAATTCTCAAACATCGTCTGAAGGTTGTTCTTATTCTAAATGCATACTTATATATTGGCATTATTTTTCTTATATAACACGTTATATTTTTGTGTAGAATATTACGACATTGGTGATCCATTAATTGAGTGTCGTTATTGTAAAGCCATGATGTGGTATCAAGAGAGAATGAACAAAAGTTCTCATTTAGCCAATCCCAAATTTTCATTGTGTTGTGGCAACGGAAAGGTCGAACTACCATTACTCAAACAACCCCCTCCTTTACTAGCACATCTCCTTTTTGATGAAGATATAGTTAGCAGAAAGTTTCAACAACAAATTCGCATTTACAACATGATGTTTGCCTTCACATCACCAGGTGCAAAGTTGGATAACCGTTTTAACAATGGAGGTGGACCACCCACTTTGCGAATTCAAGGTCAATCATGTCATCGTATTGGAAGTTTTCTTCCACCAGAAGGTCAACCTCCTAAATTTGCACAACTATATATTTTTGACACAGAAAATGAGGTTCATAACAGAATGCAGGGTTTGAGGTATAACTATTTCACATACATTACTTTCTTACCATAAATTATACACTTCATATGTTTCAATTTATTCCTTTCATACTACTTTATATTATATTTGACATAATAAAACATTTACATTTACAGGAACACAAAAAACATTGATCCGGTAATTGTACAAAAGTTGTCAGATATGCTCTACGAGCATAACCCTCATGCCAAAAGTTTTCAAATGGCCAAACATTGGTTATTGAATTCAGACACCCAAAACCTGAAATTAAGACTCATTTCTAATAGATCCACAGATGGAAAAGTATATAATCAACCTACTATTTCTGAGGTTGCTGATTTGATAGTTGGTGATCTTGATACAGCAGAAATGAGGGATATCATCATGCAAACTAAAGGTGGAGAGTTACAAAGAATTAACGAGCTCCATGCAAGTTACTTGGTGTATCAATATACTTTAATTTTTCCTTATGGAGAAGATGGTTATAGACCAAACATAGCTCATCGAGACTTAGACATATTCCAAGACAATAAGAGAAATAGACTTACAATTAGAGAGTGGCTAGCATTTCGCATTTAGAACAGATCATTTGAGGCTAAAACTTTGTTGTCTTCAAGAAGGCTTTTTCAACAATTCTTAGTTGATGGTTACACAATGTTAGAGTCCGAAAGACTTCAATGGATTTGTGAAAGTCAACCCAAATTAAGGGTGTCGAAATACAATAGCCTTACTGAAGTGGGTGAACAAAGTGAAACACATGGTTCTTCAACAGGAAAAAGAGTGGTTTTGCCTTCTACTTATGTTGGTGGAAGGAGGTTTATGGATCAATTGTACTATGATGGAATGGCTATTTGTAGCAAGGTAGGGTTTCCTGATTTATTTGTAACATTCACTTGTAATCCAAATTGGCCTGAAATACAAAGATTACTTAGACCTCTTGGACTAAAACCCCAAGATCGTCCTGATGTGATTTCGAGGATATTTAAAATCAAGTTTGATCAGCTTCTATCAGATTTGACAAAAAGGGGAGTGTTAGGCAAGGTGCTTGCATGTATGTTTTCTTTTCTCACCGTAACTTTTCAATTTGTTACACAATATTAGAAATTACTTTTTACTAATTGATTTTTTTGTAGATATGTACACCATTGAGTTTCAAAAGAGAGGGTTGCCACATGCACATATATTGATATTCTTGCATCCTTCTAACAAATATCCAAGACCCGAAGATATTGACAAGATTATAAGTGCTGAAATCCCTGATCCTATAAAGGAACCAAAGCTATACAACTTGGTTAAAAATCATATGGTTCATGGACCTTGTGGATTGGTAAATCAAAGTTCACCTTGCATGAAAGATGGAAAATGTTCAAAGTATTACCCAAAAAAGTTTCAGTCAACAACCATAGTTGATCAAGATGGCTATCCACTTTATAGGAGAAGAGACAACGGAAACACAATCGATAAAAATGGAATCATTCTTCACAGCGGACATGTAGTTCCTCACATCCCAAGTTTATTGTTGAAGTACGAGGTGCACATCAACATGGAATGGTGCAACCAAAGTACTTCGATTAAATACTTATTCAAGTATATTAACAAAGGTTCATATAAAATTTCTGCTATTATTCATTCTTCTGGTGATATGTCTGATGGTAAGAAGAAGAATGTTGATGAGATCAAGCAATATCTTGATTGTAGATACATTTCCCCGAGTGAGGCATGTTGGAGGATTTAATCTTATTCTATACATGGTAGGAAATCGGTCGTGGAAAGACTATTTTTTTTCACATGGAAGGTGAGAATTCTGTTTACTACAAAGGCTTTGAGCAAATTGGTAATCTTCTACTCAAACCAAGTGTTACAGAATCTATGTTTACTGCATGGTTTGAAGAGAATAAAAAATATGATGAAGCTAAGTTGTTGACATATAGTGATTTTGTGACAAAATTTGTTTACCAAAAGAAAACTAGGACTTGGAAGCCTAGAAAAAAAGGGTATACGATTGGTCGTCTCATTTGGGTTCCTCAAAGCACAGGTGAATTATTTTATTTACGAATGATACTTACTGTTAAGAAAGGACCAACGAGTTATGAAGACATCAAAAAGGTCGATGGTTCACAACATAACTCTTTTAGAGAAGCATGTTTTGCAATGGGATTTCTACAAGATGATAAAGAATTTATTGAGGCTTTAAAAGAGGCACATCAACGGGGTTCTGGTTTATTTCTAAGAAATTTATTTGTTACGATGTTGCTATCTTCATCAATGAATATACCTGAGCATGTTTTGAATCAAACATGTCACTACTTAGCTGATGGTATTCTTTACAATAAACGTGTCATAACAAGAAATCCAGGTACACCCTATATGCATTTCAATTTCTTACTTTTATTCACAAGTTAATTTTTATATTGACACTGTATTGTTTTATCTTCGTTAGGATTAACACTAATCGATGAAGAATTAAAACAATTTACTCTGATTGAAATAGAAACTCAGTTACAAAAGAGCAATAGAAGTCGGAATGATTTCAAGTCAATGCCATATCCAAAAGACTTTGTACTTTCTTTTCTTGGAAACCGTCTGATTTATGAAGAAAGGCAATATGATTCAAATGCTCAAAAAATTATTTTTGATACTTTCTTCTCATCTCTTACAGGTAAAATTACATTCGTAAACTATATATATTTTCCAACTTATTTCATGTTTATAATTGTTATATTGATAAATGCAATACTTATTGTTTATAACTTATATTATTTATAGTTGATTCCCTCAATGCCATTTATTGTAGTCAATGCCTAATAATGCTTTAAATTCTCATTTTGAAACATATAGTCACATGACGCTTTTTTACAGATGAGCAGAAACACATTTACTTTGATGTCATGGATGCCGTAGAAAGACAGAATGGTGGTGGTGTTTTTTTATATGGCTATGGTGGAACAGGTAAAGCATTTATGTGGAACACTCTCGCTGATGTTATTCGTTTTAAACATAAAATTGTATTGCCTCTGGCATCAAGTGGAATTGCAAGTCTGTTGTTACCAGGTGGAAGAACAGCACATTCTAGGTTTAAGATACATGTCCCTACTTTGCATTCATCAATTTGCAACATTGACAAAAAAGATGATCTTGCTGAGCTTTTAAAGATAACATATCTTATTATATGGGATGAGGCTCCGATGGCTAATAGATTTTGCTTTGAGGCTCTTGATAAATCCTTGAGAGACATTATGAGTGAATTTCCACAGGCTGCAAATAAATTATTTGGAGGCAAAGTAGTTATTTTTGGTGGTGATTTTAGACAAATCCTTCCCGTTGTTCCAAGAGGTAGTAGATCTGATATTATTTATTCAACTATCAATACTTCTTATATTTGGGATCAGTGCAAAGTCCTCAAACTTACAAAAAATATGCGCCTACAAAGTGGGACAACTTCAAATCAAATTGAAGAAGTTCGTATATTTTCTGAGTGGATTTTATCAATTGGAGATGGTACCATGGGTGAGCCTAATGATGGTTATGTTGAAATTAATATTCCTGCAGAGTTTTTAATTTCAAAATTTTCAGATCCTATTAAGGCTATTGTTGATAGTATCTATCCCGATCTCATTCATAACTACCGTGACCCCAATTTTTTACAAAGTCGTGCTATCTTGGCTTCAACAATTGAAGTTGTTGATGAGATTAATCAATATATCATAAATCTTCTTCCAGGTATTATATATGTCGTGAAGTTGTTTTCATGCTATTTTCATGCTAATTTCATTTTTGACTTCATTTTTTATTTGTTGAATCATTTGTCTGTTTTTTTTCCTTTTAGGAGAAGACAAGGAATACTTTAGTAGTGATTCTATTGATAGATTAACAACAACTGACTTTGATGCATTTGAGCACTTAACTGCTGAATTTCTAAATGCTCTTAAAACTTCTGGATTGCCTAATCATTCTATAAAGTTGAAAATTGGTGCCACTATTATGTTGATGAGAAACTTAGATCAATCGGAAGGTTTATGCGATGGTACAAGGTTCCGGTTACAAGGTTGGCTAATCATGTTATTGAAGCTAGGATCATTTCAGGAAAGAATATAGGTAACATCATTTATATTCCAAGAATTTCTTTGTCCCCCTTTCAATCACCATGGCCATTTAAGTTAGTGAGAAGACAATTTCCCATTATTGTTTCTTTCGCCATGACAATTAACAAATCACAAGGCCAATCGTTAGACGTAGTTGGTTTATACCTGCCAAAGGATGTATTTAGTCATGGTCAGTTGTATGTCGCAATGTCCCGAGTTAAGACAAAACAAGGTCTTAAAATTTTAATTCATGATGAAAATAACAATACCGCTGCTACTACCACTAATGTTGTATTCAAAGAAGTTTTCCACAATATTTAGAAGGTATAACAATCACACTCTTCTCTTTGGTTAAGTTTTCCATTACGAAAAATGATCCAATTGTTCTCTAATTTTTTTTACAGGTCAACATTGTGATATCAACTCCAACAGACACATTATTTTGCAACGTCGGTTACATGACATTTTGTTGTACTACTTCTCTTTTACTATATATTATTACTTTACTCCTTTTTTGACAACATTACCATTTCATTTAGTTATATTAGTTGTTTCATATTCAATTTCTATTTTCTTAATTTATATTTCTTTCACTTTAATTGCATTGTTTTTCATTTAAGTCTAATACACATATATTTGTCAAAATTAACTATATATTTATAAATTTATTTACCCGTGCAGAAGCACGGATTTTCTACTAGTATATAAATAAAAGTGTATGATCTAAACTAAACATTTTTTCTAATTTAGTATTATTATCACATATATCCTTAAATTCATATATTCTTACATTGATCCACTTAAAATAAAAGGCAAAAACATAATAAGTATCATAAATGTATGTTATATTATTATTTTTCGACTTGATACTTTAATTTCAATAATTAGATATGTCTTTTTATATAACTCAACTCTAAATTAATTACTAAAAAGTTGTATTGACAAAATGAAGAACCAAAAGAAAATCAAGCATTATATATATAGACATTATATGAAATTTACTTCGGGCAAGAGTTGAAAATAACATTAACGGGAGAGTTAAACCATGTTTGAAAAACTTTACTCTTATTTTATTTTAGAATAATGATATTTATTATTTTTGTTTTATATCTGATGTTTTAAATTAAAATTATATATAATAAATTTCCACGTGTTTCTTAGAAGAGAAGGTCTCACTTCTCTCTAAAAACTTAACATGTTTTCGTTTTTTCAACTCTAATCTAACTATGTCGCATTCAGAATTGATCTAGAAGCCAATGTAGGTAACAAAGGTAGGAAAATGTGTTAAATATGTTCATAACCTTATAATTTTTATCAATATAGAAATCAAGAACAAAATTCTAAAATCTTAAATCCGTATCCGAATACAATTATAAGAATGAAGGCGGAAGCATACCTGAACTTGCCATTAAAATCGTTGAAGGTTGCATGTATGTGATCTTTAAATTCGTAGAGTTCCTTAGAGTTATTTGAATCTCCTATGATGGGGATAAAGAG